TTCAATAAAAGAGTAAAAAGTCAACAAATAAATGACCAAATATTATATCTCAAAACCCTAGTAAAAGAACAAATCAACAACAAAAGCAGTAGAAGACAGGAAATAATTAAAATCAGAGCTGAAATCAATGAAATTTAAACAAAAGAAACAATTCAAAAAATTGACAAAATTAAAAGTTGTTTCTTTGAATAAATAAATAAAATTGATAAACCCTTAGCTACACTAATGAAGACAAAACTCAAATTATTAAAATTCATGATTAAAAAGGTAAATATCACAACATACACTACTGAAATGCAGAAGATAAATAGAAACTATTATGAAAATTTATATTCCAATAACATAGAAAATCTTGAAGACATCAACAAATTTCTAGAGACACATGAACTATCCAAACAGAATCAAGAGGACATGCATAATTTAAACAGATCATTTTTAAGCAATGAAATAGAAGATGTCATCAAAAGTCTACCAACCAAGAAAAGCCCAGGACCAGACGCATTATCAGCCAAGTTCTACATGATCTTCACAAAAGAATTAGCACTAATATTCCTCAAATTATTGCATGAAATAGAAAAGGAGGGAACCCTTCCAAACTCATTCTATGAGGCTAGTAACACCCTGATACCAAAACCAGACAAAGACACATCAAGGGAAGAAAACTTTAGACCAATGTCCCTAATGCAAAAATTCTCAATAACATTCTGACAAATCGCATACAAAATATATTTTAAAAATAGTGCACCATGATCAAGTGGGGTTCATTCTAGGGATGCAAGGTTGGTTCAACATACAGAAATTTATAAATATAAATAACAAAAATAGCATGGTATTGGTACCAAAGTAGACATATAGACCAATGGTATAGAATAGAAGACACATCAAGTGACTTAAAGACAAGAATCATATGATCATTTATTTCAATATATGTAGAAAAAGCATTTGACAAAATATAGCACCTCTTCATTTTCAAAACACTAGAAAAACTAGGGATAGTAAGAACATATCTCAACATTGCAAAAGCTATCTATGCTAATCTTAAGGCCAACATCATTCTAAGTAGAGAAAAATTGAAAGCATTCCTTCTAAAAACTGGAACAAGACAGGAATGCCCTCTTTCACCACTTCTATTCAACAAAGTCCTGGAAACTCTAGCCAGAGAAATTAGACAAATAAAAGAAATTAAAAGGATACAAATAAAAAACAAAGAACTCAAACTATCATTATATGATGACTACATGATTTTATATTTAGAAGATTCAAAAAATCCCACCAGAAAACACCTAGAGCTAATAAATGAAGTCAGCAAGGTGGCAGGAATAAATCAAAGGCATTTATATACATCAGTGATGAATACTCTGAAACAGAGAAATTAGAAAAACTACCCCATTCCCAGTAGCCTAAACACACACATACACACACACACACACACACACACACACACACACACACACACACTTGGAGATCATTCTAACAAGAGAGGTGAAAGACCTCTACAATGAAAACTACAGAACACTAAAAAAAGAAATTGAAGACCTTATAAGATGGAAATATATCCCATGTTCTGGGCAATTACAATTAAAATCCCAATAACATTCTTCATAGAACTAGAAAAAGCAATCATGAGATTCATTTGGAAAAACAAGAGACCCAGAATAGCCAAAGCAATCCTTAGCAAGAAAAGTGAAGCAGAGGCATCACAATATCAGACCTTAAAGTATACTACAGAGCAATAGTAACAAAAATAGCATGGTATTGGTACCAAAGTAGACATATAGACCAATGGTACAGAATAGAAGACACAGAGACAAACTCACATAAGTAGAGTTATCTCATATTAGACAAAGGCTCCAAAAACATACATTGGAGAAAAGATAACCTCTTCAACAAATGGCACTGGGAAAACTGGAAATCCATATGGAGAAAAATAAAATTAGACCTCTATCTCTCATCCTGCACAAAAATCAACTCAAAGTGGTTCAGAGACTTAGGAACTAGAACAGAGACCCTGTGGCTAATAGAAGAAAAAATAGGACCAAATCTCTACCATGTCGGCTTAGGAACTGACTTCCTTAACTAGGACTCTATAGCGTAATAAGTAAAAAAAAAAAAAAGAATCAATAAATAGGATGAATTCAAACTAAAAAGCTTCTCAGCAAAGGAAACAATCAATAACATGAAGAGAGAGCCCACAGAATGGCAGAAAATCTTTATTTACTACATGCACCTCAGACAGAGCACTAATCTCCAGGACATATAAAGAAGTTAAAAAACTCAGCACCAAAAAACAAATACCCAATCAGTAGATGGGTTAAGGAGCTGAACAGATACTTTACAGAAAAAGAAATACAATTGATCAACAAGTATATGGGAAAATGTTCATCATCTCTAGCAATTAGAGAAATGCAAATCAAAGGTACTCTAAAATTTCATCTCATTCCAGTCAGAATGGCAATTATCAAGAATACAAGCAATAATAAGTGTTGACAAGGAAGTGGGGAAAAGGTACACTAATATATTGCTGGTAGCACTGCAAATTAGTGCAACCACTATGGAAAGCAGTATGGAGATTCCTTAGAAAAGTTAGAATGGAACCACTATTTGACCCAGCTATCTCACTCCTCAATTTATACTCAAAATATTTAAAATCAGCATACTATAGTGATGTAGCCATCTCAATGTTTATAGCAGCTCAATTCACAATAGTTAAATGATGGAACCAACCTCAATGCCCTTCAACAGATGAATGGATAAAGAAACTATGGTGTATATATATATATATATATATATATATATATATATATATATATATAACGGAATATGACTCAGTCTTGAAGAAGAATGAAATCATGGCATTTGCAGGTAAATGGATGGAGTTGGAGAATATCATGTTAAGTGAAATAAGCCAACCCCCCCAAAACAAAGGCCGATTATTTTCTCTGATAAGCAGATGTTGATCCATAATGGGGTGGGGCAAAGAATGAAGAAACTTTGGATTGTGCAAAGGGAGTGAGGGGAGGGGAGGAGGTGTGGGGACTGGGTGGATGGTGGAATGGACATTATAACATTATATACATGTATGATTATACTACTGATGTGACTCTGTACCATGTTCAGCCAGAGGAAGGAGAAGTTGTGCTCTATTTGTGGACAGAGTGTCAAAATGCATTCTGCTGTCATGTATAACTAATTAGAACAAATTATAAAATGAAAAAAATGCATTCCAAATTTATCAATGATGTAAGAATAAAAATAAAATAAATAAAATTACTTCTACAAAAAACAAAAGAGAACAACTGCTAGCAAAGATGTAAGGAAAAAAGTCTTATATACTGTTTGGGAGATGTAAATTAGTATAGTCACTATAAAAAAACAGTATGGAGGTCTCTTTTTCAAAAAACTAAAAATAGAACCACCATATGACCAGATTATACCACTCCTGGGTATAAATCTGAGGGAAATAAGGTCAGTATACAAAAGAGACACCTGCATACCCATGTTTATTGTGGCACTATTCACATTAGCCAAAATATGAAATCAGCCTAGGTGCTCCTCAACATCTAACAGATGAATGGATAAAGAAATGATGAGATATATACACAATGAACTCTTATTCATCTATAAAGAAGAATAAAATCTGTCATTTGCATGAAAATGGATGGAACTGGAGGACATCATGTCAAGTGAAATTATTCAGACAATATCACATACTTTCTCTTTTATGTGAAAACAATAAAATTAAAATAAAATATAACCTGAAAATAGAGAGGGACTTTTAGAGGCTAGTAAAGGGGGAAAGAGGGATGTTGACAGATGTAGAGGGAAGGTGGAAATATCAATGCACAATATATGCCCATATGGAAATGTCACAAGAAACTCATCAATTTGTACAATTAACATGTATGAATAAAAAGAAAAAATATATACATATTCTATACAAACACAACTGCTGCAAACCTAACTACATAGTACATATCAGCAGCAAGCACAGCAACAAAAATAAGTAATATTCTATACAGAATAATAATAAGTAATATTCATTGAATGTTTGGATAAACATCAACCAGGCATTGTTCTAAGTAAAAAAAAATACATACACATATATATGTATCTACATGTGTGTATATGTGTATGTACACTTTTATTAATATATTCATTAAAAATTTTATTAATATATTTATGAGGGCCAAATAAATATATTTAATATAGATATTAAATATATATATTCAAGCGAATATGTGTATGTGTGTATTTCTGTGGTATGGGTGTGTGAGTACTGTGGTATGAACGTGTCCCCTCCAGAAAACATTCCGATATTGAAACTTAATGGTCAATGTGATGGTCTCTGAAGGTGGGACCTTCAAAGGCGGTCATAAGAGTCCCTCTCCTTGTGAATGGGATGACGGTCCTTACTAAAGAGGCTTCACACAGTGTTTGGCTCTCCTGCCCTCTATCTTTAGCCTCCTGAGAACATAGCACTTCTCCCCTCTAGAGAATGCAACCCTCATTAGAAAACCAAACCTGCCAGGGCCTTGATTTTAGACTTCCAGCTTCCGAAGCTGTGAGAAGTAAATACTTATTCTTTATAAATCAACCAGTTACTGGATCTATAGTACTCAGTTATAGTAGCATAAAATGAACTAAGATAACATTCAAGAGAAAATTTTATATATGGTTTTTATTTCAAGACAGTCCTTAAAAACACTCCATGAAGTGACTAGTAGTACCCTCATTTTACAAATGAGAAAACTGAGGTACATAGTGTTAAAAACTTTCCCAAAAGCCACTGAGCAAGTGACAGAGCTAGAACTTGAACCTTAGTATTGTGGCTTCAAAACCCAAGTTCATAACCCAAGTTATGCCTCAGAGAATCTCATTGAGACTCTTAAATCAGTTATAATAATAGCTGGTTGTGATTTTAAAATTCTAGAAGAGGTGATTGAAAGAATCTCATTTAACTTTTTCATGATTGAACATAAGCAGAAGCATTGTCCACATACTTTTAGCAGTCATCTCTTCTGTTCCAACCGGAGTGGAGCCTATTTTTTGTTCTTCAGAGTCTCTCTGCATAAAGGATTCATTTAGAGCCCATAAAACCAAATCACGCAAGGTAAAGACTGTGGTTCCATCTCTGGTGTATACTTTGGAAGCTGCTCTGGAAAGCCCAAGCTGTCCTGTGCATTCTGTAAGAAGCTAAACAACACAGTCTGTGAAGGACTGACACGAACTAGTGATAGAATTGGGAATAATAAAGAAGAGCTCACCTTTCAGATGAGAAAATCTTTTAACTTGAGAAAATACAGATCTGAGTAACTACTAATCTTAATTGTGTGTGTGTGTGTGTGTGTGTGTAATAATAGTAGTAGGGATTAAAATAAGGACTCACACATGCTAAGCAACCATTCTACTCCTGAGCTACATCACCTTCCCTGATCTTGATTTTTGATTAGTAATGATTTCTAATATTAGATTGTTCTATACCATTTTATATTAGTCTAATCCCACTGTGAAAATTCCTAGCTCTAAAAATGTAACATAGCAGCTGATGTATGTTAATACATTTTAGCCTCAGAGTACTTTCTAAGGAATGTCCAATAGAGAAATCTACTTTCAATTTTGTTGCTTGATAAGGTATAAAATTATTGTAATATTTCATATTGATAAACTGCTCTAAAATAAATGAGTAGTTAACTTTTAAACCAAGATATGACATGTATTATTACCTCCATTTGGTAGATGGGAAAACAGAATGAAAAGGCTAATATTTTTTCCCAAGACCATAAAAGACAGTATGGATCCCTGAGTGAATCTTCAAGTCACTAACTTCTGTACTTTGTTTAGTTTACTGAACAACAATATTTTATTTAAAAATCCATTTATTTTTCAACCAAAGAGGTGAGTGGATAAATAAGTAGCGTTTGTAAAGAAGTTGCAATGAGAACTTTATATCATATTTAACATCGCCTGTAAAATATGTTACTAAAGTATTAATCTGAATGCACAGACAGGATGATCATTAAACCTGGAAAGACAAATCTGGGCTTGGGCCTTCTGGACTCTCTTTCATTCCTGTGTCTATGTGTTCTTTAAGACAGACCACACAGTTCCTCTTAACACAATCCCTTCTTCTCCAATTTGAAAATGAAGCACCCTATCAACAAATAAACACTCTAATGCTGCAGATGATAAACAAGGTGGCATCTCTTAGATCACTCAGATGACATAAAATTGGAAGTTGGCTTGGGAAGGAGGGAAGAAACTGACATTGTTCTTGATAAGAATGAAGAAAATTGGGTAGTTTTATTTTTTTCTCCTTTTATATCTTTGCTTTGGAGCCAATCTAAGAAAACACATTCTGATTTTTAAAAATTTTTCTAAGTCTATCCAAAGAAATACAATAAAAATAATGCCTTTAAGGAAACACGGATCTTAATCTCATCAGCTTAAATTGGTAAACCTGGCCAGGGACATTTATCACTCAATCTCATTTTTTTTTTCTTATCAGGAGAATCACCATTATCATTACCTCTGAGAATGTAAGCAGCATTTAAGTGACAGTCACTTACCATGGGGAATGTTCCAGCCACAATTAACTTCCCATTACGATATCCATCCCCGTTTTTGTACGCGATTATTTTCACTGCCTTCTGGTGTGTTGCTGCTATACCACTGCGATACACAACTTGCATGCAGGTCTTCATCCGTAAAGATAATAGGAGTTCTTCATAATAACTTAGAGTTTTGTCAGCCTCGTAAGATGACAAGTCAGCCTGATTCATTTAAAAAAAATTGTACATTGATACAAACCTTTAAATTTTAGTTTTTTTATTTGAGCATCATTCAGTCTCATTTCAATGAGTGTGTGTGTGTGTGTGTGTGTGTGTGTGTGTGTGTGACATTTAAATTTTGCTATGGTCACTTCATGTACTATAGATACCAGTGCTATAATGGGAAGGACACTGGACAGAAATCTTAAGTTCTTTTTCCGTCCCTGACACCGAGTTACTAGGTGACTTCTGAGCATCTGGTCTGTTTGGGGCCTTCTGCATTTATTTTATTTGAGGTTAATGTTACATTTTTTGTTTCTTTTGCTTTCACCTGTGACAGGAGATGGCAGCAGGGCCAAAGACAGCCTGAGATCAAAGTAAGAGGACACAATACCACCACCGACATTCCCTCAATTTTTGACTTTAGAATGATGCCGTCCTATGGTGGAAGATGCTGATGAAAGGAGGGGAATGAGAACAGTGTCAAGCACATGGTAATGAAGGGGTGAAAGCCACTTCATCCCTAACTAGGATGCTGCCCTGAGGGAAAACCTGTCTGAGATGCTGTAACTCTGAGGATCTTGGTAATCAGCTCCTCCAAACCAAATGCCCTCCGGCTTCCCAGAGGACTGATTCCTTTTTCCTTTAGATATTGTTTCAGTGGATGGTAACAGGTGGCACAATGTGGCTGGGAATTAGGAGATGAGCGAGATGTGGAGATGGGGCAGGCCAGCCTTGAGAGGACAGGCTGGAGGGTGCCCACCTTTTTGGACTTGCTCCTTTATATTCAGGTGTGCAAGTTCCCTCAGCTTTTTTCACTTCTAAACTTGAAGGGAGGATCTCTTAAACAGTACCATTTCAAATTAAGGTCACACAAAAGTAGCAGAGGATTTTGTTTGTTTGGTTGGTTGGTTTTTGTTTTTGTTTTTTCATCTCCAAGAACTCTAAATAGCATTAGACATGGATGTGTGAATTCAGACACCCAACCTGAATTGTTAACAACAACATGTCAAATTCCCTCTGAAATGCTCCATGCTCATCAAAGAAGTTTACCCTGTGGATACAGGTGAAAAAGCTGTTCCACTAAGTAAAGATTTGCAGTTATTTCCTCAACTAAGTGACACAGAGAACAAGGGAAAGTGTCAGCAAATTAAAGCTGCAGAAGTGCCCAATTAACTTCACAGGGTGGATGGAACTATTAATAGACAATGTATTTTAAATTACAGTGGGGAAAAGGAAATCAATGCAAGCAGGATGTGTTAAGGGAGGATGAATTGGATGAGTGGAGATGCACCTGAGGAGGATGAATTGGATGAGTGGAGATTAACTTGAATGCAAGGCAGATAATAAATACATCAAAGTTTCCAAACTGTTGACACATGTACATTAGCAGAATTCAGATCATTACACACCTTGACCACACTGATGACCTTGAAAGGCCCTTGTGATAGGGGCTTCTGGGTCTTGGAGCCTGAAACACAGAGGAATGGAACCCCTGGAAGCAACTGTTTCAGTCTCTTCTCTGCTCTCATGCATCGTCCACAAGCCAGGCAGAGCATCATTTTCCTCTTTCCACCAGCTGAGAGATAATAGTATCCCTTAAACAGGAAATAAAGGCACTTTTATATAGGTACATCTGAATTATGATAGCATTCCATAGAACTCTTTAGAATATAAATAGAGCACCTTTATCATCACCAAATACTAAATTTGAAATCACAACATTAATGCATTATTTTCCTCCCTAATAATTACATTTTCAAGAAAATAATTTCCAAATTTGTAATGACAATTCAGCACCGATGAACACAACCTGTGCCCAGAATCAAGATTTCATGAAAAATGGTCAGTTCCAAGTTTGAGTCAGAAAATATACAATGTAAGCAAGGGAAAGAAAAAAGTTATCCCAGAGTAAACAAATTGTGTCAAAAAGACAGGGAAGTCAATATGAGGGAGCCCCTACTGCTCAAAAAGCAATAATTTGGGGCTAACATAAAGAACAATAATGGCAACATTTTGCATGTTTTTGAATATGCAAAATTCAATGAGTTCACAATGATTCTATTAATAGAAGTAAAACAAACGAAAAACCCAAACAAATAAAAACAAACCTACAACCTATTGGACAACATTGGCAATAAGCTTGCACCTATTTATAACTCTGAAAACCGGCCATGAAAGAGTATGGCAGATTATTTCCAAAGACAGCCACAATAAAACCATTCCAAACTTATGTTCATGGTCATTTGATGTATGACTTTACTGTTCCTTCAATAGAGAGGAAGTGTTTCTTTGTCCTTATTTCTTTTCGTTGAAGAAGGGAAAGGGCGTACTACTGGCTTCACCCATTGTAGCACTAGCAAATGCAAGACAAGCAGATGTATAAGTAGTACTTGCACATTAGTGCTTATTCTCTTTGGGTTACAGTAGGAACCCTAAGACTACAATGTGAGCAAACTTGAGCTAGCCTTTTCAAGAAATCCAGAGATTAAAGAATCAATGCCCCTAGCTAAGAGCCTACCATCCACCAGACATGTAAGGGAGGCCATCTGTGATCATCTACTCCTCACAGAGCCACCAAACTACTGAAGGAGCACCAGATGACTACAGCCATACTAGTGACCCTGGACAAGACCAACAGATCTGTTCTTCATAATTTTCCTGAAATCTTTCCTAACTGGAATCACAGAGTTTAAGTTATTTCAATCAAAAGTTAAGTGTTCTTTTGCCTAATTGCTCTGGCTTGAGATTTGAGTACTATTGAGAATAAAAGTGGTAAAAGTGGGTATCCCTGTCTTGTTTCTATTTTTAGAGGAATGCTTTTAGTTTTTCTCTATTTAGAACAATGTTGGCCTTGGGTTTGTCATACAGCTTTTACAATGTTAAGATATGGTCATTTTATTCCTATTTTTTCCTAGTGTTAATCATGAATGGATGCTGTATTTTGTCAAATGCTTTTTCTGTATCCATTGAGATGATCATGTGATTCTTGTCTTTAAGTCTATTGATGTGGTGCATATATTTAGTGATTTCTGTATGTTGAACCAACCGTACATGCCTGGAATGAAACTCACTTGATTATGGTGCACAGTCTTTTCAGTATGTTTTGCCAGCATTTTATTAAGAATTTTTGCATCTATGTTCATCAGGGATATTGGTTTGAAGTTTTCTTTCCTTGTCGTGTCTTTGTCTGGTTTTTTTTGTTTGTATGTGGTGCTGAGGATCGAACCCGGGCCGCGCGCAAGCCAGGCAAGCGCGCTACCACTTGAGCCACATCCCCAGCCTCTTTGTCTGGTTTTGATGTAAGGGTGATATTGACTTCATTGAATGAGTTTGGAAGGGTTCCCTCCTTTTCTATTTCTTGGAATAATTGGAGGAGGATTGGTATTAGTTCTTATTTAAAGGTTTGGTAGAACTTGGCTGAGAATCCATCTAGTACTGAACTTCAATTTGCTGGTAAGTTCTTGATTACTTCTTCAATCTTGTTATTTGAAATTGATCTATTTATATTTTCTATATCCTCCTGGTTCAGTGTGAGTAAGTGTTATGTTTTTAGGAATTTATCAATGTCTTCAGTATTTTCTAACTTAAATAAGTATAGATTTTCAAAACAGCTTCTGATTATCTTCTGTATTGCATTAGTGTTGGTGATGATATTTCCATTTTCATCATGGATTCTAGTATTTGCATTTTTAAGGAGTTAAAATCAGCATACTTCAGTGACACAGCCACATCAATGTTTATTGAAGCTCAATTCACAATAGCTAAGTTATAAAAGCAGCCTAGGTGTCCTTCAATAGATGAATGGATAAAGAACATGTGGTATATATACACAATGGAGTATTACTCAGCCATAAAGAAGAATCACTTTATAACATTTGCCAGCAAATGGATGGATCTGAAGACTATCATGCTAAGTGAAGTAAACAAAAATCAAAGGTAGAATGTTATCTCTGATATTTGGAAGCTAATTCACAATAAAGCAGGTTGTGAGGGGAAGAGTAGACATGCGGTAGATTAGACAATGGGAATGGAAGGAAAGGACAGGGATAAGTAAAGGAAAGACAGTGGAATGAATCTGGCATGTACATATATGAAGTTTCCCATGTACATATATAAAACAACACAGAAAATCCCACCACCATGTACATCCATAAGAATGGAACTCTACCATTGGTCTACGTGTCTATTTTGGTGCCAATACCATACCATTTTTGTTACTATACTTTGTGGTATAATTTAAGGTCTGGTATTGTGATGCCTTCTGCTTCACTCTTCTTGCTAAGGATTGCTTTGGCTATTCTAGGTCTCTTATTTCTCCAAATGAATTTCATGCTTGTTTTTTCTATTTCTATAAGGAATGATGATGGGATTTTAATAGGAATCACATTGAATTTGTATAGTGCTTTGGGTGGTATGAACATTTTGACAATATTAATTTTGCCTTTCCAAGAACATGGGAGATCTTTCCATCTTCTAAAATCTTCTTCAATGTCTTTCTTTAGTGTTCTGTAGTTTTCATCATAGAGGTCTTTCACCTTTTTGTTAAGTTGACTCTCAAAAATTTTTTTTGGAGGCTATTGTGAATGGGGTAGTTTTCCTAATTTCTCTTTCAGAGGATTTGTCATTAATGTGTAGAAATATATTTGATTTATGGGTATTGATTTTATATCCTGCTACTTTGCTGAATTCATTAATTAATTCTAGTTTTCAGGTGAAGTTTTTTTTGGATTCTCCAAGTACAGAATCATGTCATCAGCAAATAATGATAGTTTGAATTCTTCTTTTCCTATTTGTATCCCTTTAATTTCTTTTATCTGTTTAATTGCTCTGGCTAATGTTTCCAGGACTATGTTGAGTAGAAGTGGTGAAAGAGGGCATCCCTGTCTTGTCCAAGTTTTTAGAGGGAATGTTTCCAATTTTTCACCATTTAGAATGATGTTGGCTTTGGGTTTAGAGTAGATAGCTTTTACAATGTTGAGGTATGTTCCTACTATCTCCAGTTTTTCAGTGTTATGAACATGAAAGGGTGCTATATTTTATCAAATTCTTTCTCTGCATCAATTGATATAATCATATAATTCTTTAAGTCTACTGATGTGATGAATTATATTTATTGATTTTCATATATTGAATCAACCTTGTATCCCTGGAATAAACCTCACTTGATTATGGTGCACTATTTTTTTAATATGATTTTGTATGCGATTTGCCAGAATTTTTTTGAGAAGTTATCTCATACTAGACAAAGGTGCCAAAAACATACATTGGAGAAAAGATAGTCTCTTCAACAAAAGGTGCTGAGAGAACTGGAAATCTATACTCAACAAAATGAAAATAAACCCCTATCTCTAACTATGTGCAAAACTCAACTCAAAGTGGATCGAAGACCTAGGAATTAGACCAGAGACCCTGCACCTAATAGAGGAAAAATTAGGCTCAAATATTCATTATGTTGGATTACGCCCTGACTTCCTTAAGAAGACTCCTAAAACACAAGAAATAAAATCAATAATTAATAAATGGGATGGGATAAACTAAAAAGCTTCTTCTCAGTAAAAGAAACAATCAATGAGGTGAAGAGAGAGTCTACATTTTGGGAGCGAATTTTTGTCACACACATGTCAGATACAGCAGTAATCTCCAGGATATATACAGAACTCAAAAACCTTAACACCAAAAAAAAAAAAAAAAAAAAAAAAAAAAAAA